TTCGAGGCATGGAAACGGCAACAATGCATGCAGAAGGAATATATGAAGCCTCACTGAGTTGAGAAAAGAATGTGACTACGCAGTGATAAGAAGTCATTTCCTAACTTCGTAGACCCGAGTTGGAGCCGCATAAAGATTCGCTAAACTGCCAATTCTGCTGAACGAGGAAATCACCCTTGCTGTTTCAGTGCGGCCAGCTGAGAAATGGATAGCAGCTAGTTAATTTCTGAACAATGGTGACAGCGTCATGTTAATGTGCAACAACCAACGATGTTCATCTGACTTGGCTTTGTCAAAATTGAAAAAAACTTGCTTCCCAACTATCTGATGCGAGCGCCACTTTAAATAAGCGATTCGTCTTCATCTACCTGAAGGTTTACTATATAGCATAATAATCAGCACAACGTGTAAACCGAAATATATCATTCTTTTATTAAACAGCGCCAGTTTACCTAAAATAAGAATTTGAAAAAGTAACAAGGCCATCATTTCTGCATTCTATTACCATCCTGAGAGGTGACTGTTTAAAACTGCTTTCTTTGCGCTTTCATTTAGTTTATTCTGGCCGACTTGAATGGATTCAATTTCCTAGCAATTTTTTGGGCTAAAGTAGGATGAATTGGAAAACCATAGGCAGGCGGGATCAAATCCGTGCAAATTAAAATTAGGCAGCGGGTCGCGAGTTAAGTCAAAGGTCAAAGCCTGTAGATTATACGTATATCATTTTAACAATATTAAGCTTATAAATGGAATGTTTCGCCTGAAATGTAATTCCAAATAAAACGAATTTAATGGAGCAATTCTGCTACATGCTGTTTCAATTACGCCAATGTGCAATTAAGTAGTTAATGTTCAGGTATTCGAACGTCTGAACTACTACGATTCTCACGTTACAACAAGCACGCAACGGTGTGCAGAGCTACGCTATGCTTGAATATAATCTGGATCTGTTGGTTCGATCATTTTTACTACATCTTTGTTGCAGTTGTAAAACTTTCTGCTGCATTTCTACTATTATTCATTTGTTTCATACTCCTGATACTATTATTTGGTATTAAAAGGTTGTTCCGAAAGGTTCATATTGCATTTGTTCGATCGTTATTCTCTTACCGTGTAGCTGAATTACGCTCATTATGGTGATAAGACTTAGCTAGAACAGCAGAACGGAACGGAACGGGAAAAAGGCCCACGACTAAACAATACCTGACATTGCCGAATCTGGTAGTGATTCAAGCCGTGTAAACTCTAGGTAAATACTAGAAGAACGAACCGTATCAGAAATGTACGCGTGTGATATGTTTTACAATGTGTATGTGCTAAAATGTGATATTTCGCAAATGTGTAAGTTAGAGCTAAATTTTTAGCGGCAGATGTATATGTTCGTTAATTAGGCTTATTAAGAAGCAGATTTTGAGAAATGTTGAAAAGTACTAGCAATCAGTATGCATCAAATCAGCTTTTAGCAGCGAACATATCATATATGATCTGCAGTTCAGAAAATTTTCTGAGGCATGTTAGAAGCCTGTATTTTTTCAGAGCTTTTTACGTTTTAACGATCCGTCAAGCAGAGTGCTTCTCCACAAAATATTTCCAGATTTTTCGCCAGATCTAAACAAACAACAGCGACGAAAGCGTGTCATAGCATAACACTATTTATTCATATACGGCAGATAAACTCTTCTAAAAGATTTACGTGTATGTTAGCAAAAAATTCTCAACTTCTAGCGATTCTTTGGTTTTTGTTAAGGTATAATTTTGACTTAGTCTCAGACGCAGAAGCCCTCATGGAAAGTTTTGCGCAGTAATTATCATGTGCAGAAGGCATTGCTTTGCTGAAGAAGTTAAACTGCTTTTCGCTGAGGTGCGTTGAAAAATTTAAAGATAAACAAAGGGTTTTGTTCATGCTAACCTGATCTTACGTTAATAACCTTAAGCGAAATATGCAGTTGATCAAGATTCAGCAAAGCCATTTTAAAACACGGCCCATGACAAAGTTGAAAGAAGCCAGCTCGTAGGTTCTTTCACCTAAGCATGATGTTGATAACTCCACAGGCGATCTGCAGTTTCTAAATACGTTGCTACGAGTGCTATAAACGTGAAACTGTAATGATACTATTTCGTGTAAGGCGATTATTTAAGGGAGCTGTCAGTTTGCTAAATTTAGGTATAAATATAGCGTGTTACTGGAATTGATGAAATACGTCCAGAAATGGTCAAAGTAATAGGCAAACAAGGCATGTGCGGTCTTAAACATGTCTGTGAAACTGTAGTGGCTACGGGAAAGTCACCAGTGAACTGAAGAACGGGAGCTGTAGTACTCCTGTTCAACAAGGGAGACCATAGGGAGTGCTACAGTTCTCTTTGTATTACCTTATTGAGCCTCCCAGGTAATGTCTACGCAAATGTGCTAAAAAGGAAGTGCAGCGGAATAACTGACAGGATAAAAGAAATAATCTGGCTTCCAACCTGGCGGAAGTACATCTGATCAGGTATTCGCCCTACGCCAGACTGTTGAGAAATCGTGGGAGTTCGCCCGTCTGGTGTATATGTGCTTTGTGGACTTAGAGAAGGCCTATGACCGCATTCCGCGCAACAGTTTGTGGGCTGTCCGCGAGCATTCAGTCGTTACGGGCCATCCAATCATTGTCGAGAGCTTTCAGCGTTGGCACTGCTTCTTGCCAAGGCTGAGTTCTGCCCCCTCTCCTATTTGTGTTGTACATGATGAATAGAATAGTCAGGAGAGGCCAATGCAATGAGTATGTTGATGTAGGAGATGTGGAGATCAGAAGTTTGCCG